TGTATATGGAAAAATAATGTGAAGTTTATACGTGACTTTTATCACACATGTTAAGCCTATTGGTTTCTACAACTTTCGGTGTTTAAACCCGTAATAGCTATCGCTGTTTCTTGATCCTTATATTTATGGCAGCTGTAATCTAATTTATACATTGTTGCTCTATTAGTTTAATCAAAATCAATATCAAAGTGCTAAGTAGCTAGAAAGATCAAGTAACACTTAATTGAGATGGCCGGACACATTTCTAAATTAAATTACGTTACTCAATGAAATAACACAGTTACTGAAAACTACTGTTAGTGTACAAAACATATGTATCACATTATGTATAGGTTATACTTTAGAAGACCTTCGGAGTAAACAAGCTACCAATTCAGATCCGACCTAGAATATTATTAGTAGATTATTGAGTTTTCCGTTTACTGTCAGGGGGCCATCTGATATTGGTTATGCTTCATAATTTGAGAAGGTCTAGTGTAGCTTTAGAAAATCCCTGTGTTGTACTGAAAACACATATAATGTATAACATTTAAAGCTCCTTGACTTGTTTCATTAGTCATGTCAATTTTATTTCTCAACATGTTTGTGATTCATCTGTTTATTCAAAATTACTCAGTACTGAAGCTAACTCTTCAACAGTATTTTGTATATTTAAGGTTCTAAAGAAGGGAGGCATAACATGATTTTATAAATCTATATATTAGAACATGTGAGCTAGGCGTAATAAACAATCATGTAATGTTCCCGTATGAGCAAATATAGGCTCAGATGAAACGTGTTCCAGTGTTTTCTCTTTTCTATGTTTTAACTGTATATTGAATTTGTTAAAGGGAAGTTTTTACTTCCGTTATCTTGAAGATCTTTTATCGTAGGTATATTTCATGCTGTTGTTGGTGATGACCTGGGGGTGACTCTGTGAACCTGAAGAATTCGAAGAATTTCCAACTAAATGCTTTCTTTATTTGATGGATAAAGATATCGAAATATATTTCCTAGAAGGTAGCAATGCATTCATTGAATCTTATATCTTAAGATACACTTTAGTTACGGCTTTTACTTGACTATTTAGGACGAACAATAAACCACACAAAACTACTGCAAGACAATTCCTAATCAGAAGATATAGCATTATATTCTATATCTGTTTTACTGAACGGGTAAAACTAATAATTATTGTACGTATATATTTTTTACTATTCTAACAATGTCAGTTCATTTGTACAAAAATAATGAACTCCAGCCCCCCATCATCGCATACACCCCAAAACTAGAAACACATAAGAAAAATAGCAATCCTAACTCAAAATCCACTATATTAAAAAAACTGGAAAAATAATCCATAAACACAAAGCTAAACAAAGTCTAAAAACCGGACTCACAAAATAAAATAAAAAATTAGATAAAAAAAGATAACTCTGCTCCTTACAAAATAACCTAATTGCATCAGAAAAAGGTTGCAAAATTCCTATCACTCCTACTTTATTTGGACCCTTACGAACCTGAATATACCCTAAAACCCTTCGTTCCAACAAAGTTAAAAAAGCCACCCCAACCAAGACACAAACTAAGACAATCACATAACAGACAATAAAATTTATTACCAATATTGAAGAGAAGTCATACTTCCATAAATGAAGCTTAAATTCATTGCACTAATCTGCCACCCCAATCATTAACCGAGGAATTTATTATCCCCATTCTTAGATTCTAAATCTAATACACTTATCTGCCAGATTAATTAACATAAAATAAAAATAAATAAAATAAACAAAATTTATATTGTCTGGTCCTTTCGTACTAAGACACCTTCCTCTATAACCAAAGAGAGAAACCGATCTGGCTCACACGGTCTGAACTCAAATCACTTAAAGATTTAAAGGTCGAACAGACCTTCACATAGAACTTCTCCGCCCTACTGACTCTTTAATTCAACATCGAGGTCGCAAACTTCTCCGCCCATAAGAACTTTCCGAAACAATTACGCTGTTATCTCTACAGTAACTTTCTCCTATTACCACTAAAAGTGGGTCAAAA